CTCTCCATCTAAATGGGCCTTTAACGTCAAAAAAGTCGTGAACGACAGTTAATCGTTTTGTTCCATGTGTGAACAATTTCATAAATATACAAACCACAACACTTTTAACAGCACGACTAGTCGTCATAATGGAAACACTATGTCCAGGTTTCTAGATGTAATACTTAACATATGTTATTATTTTTTTGGATATCTATTTCACACTCTCGCTCTTTTCGTGGCGTAAAATATTAATTCTGAATTTCGAGAGGCGGTCCCTATCAATGACACAGTTAGCCGGGGTCAGTGACTCAGTTTCAAGAACCAGCAAACAGTACGTGCCGTATCGAGCAGGATTATTATTATTACTAAGGTAATTAAAAAAACGACAAACGGTACGACCACATTACAGATACCAGTATCTGTGATAGAATTCCGAAATTTGTATGTAATATGTAACATTCGAAACAAAAATGTGCTCTAAAACGCACTAGATTAGATTTATTTTAGAATGTTCCGACTCGGATGGCAATTTTTTCGTTTACAACCTGTTAACTGTTCAAGTGGATTTAGTTAATGACTCTGAATTGGTAATATTGGTTCATTTAATAGGATACAGGGGGCTAATATGCATTAAAGGCTTAAATGTTAGTCAGCAATTCTATAAATTTTGGTCGAGTTGGAATTGTATGAAAAAGATGAGGGTCGCTGTAGCGAAAGCTAGACGCATTTAAGGGTGGAATCACTCCCTTCGGGGGTAATACTATTAACTTAACAACCTGTATAATTTTTACTAATATACGTGTTACAGACAAACTGTAAATTCGTTCGTTTATAAACATATGTATTGGCAATCACATGTAGAAATCAGTACAGAGTACTAAACAAACCGACCTCAAAAGTACGTGGAATTACGTCTATTTGCTAAGTTTCATTGAAATATCCCCTAGTTCGCCACTATACAGGACTTGATACTGGAGATAATAAAAATAGGTTCTCACTACGACACTACTCAAAGTATATCGAGAGAAAAACGCCTTGCATTGGAGAAATAGCAAAATCAACTTAATAATTGCTAACAGTAATTGCTCCTAAATTAAAGTTAGGCACTATTTATAAAAATGAATCTTCATGCGTGAACAGTCACCCTTTGAGGTGGATAATTTTCTTCAAAATGAAATGGGACCACTTTGGAAATACCCCCTTTCCAACAAAAAAAGAATCATGAAACTCGGTTCACAAATCCCGGAGTTATCGCGTAACATACATAAAAAAAAACTTCCTCCTTTTTTGAAGTCGGTTAAAAATTAAGATGAAAATGTTCCAATTCACCTACGCTTTACACGAATTTAAATGTGTGAAAAATTTAAAAACAGCTTTATCAGCCTATTACGAGTATGCGTTTATATGGTTAAATTACGGCTTGATGCTATGGGGAAATAGTACCCAGGTGAATGATCTCTTTATTCTATAGAAAAAGTGTGACAAAAAGTGTGTGTAAACAGATGGAATCTTGTCGACCACATTTAAAAAAAATTACAAATATTAACCCTACCTTCTATTTACATATTTGAAATGGCTAAATTTATTAGAAGAAACAGTGAACTCTAAGTCTAGATATAAGAATATATTAAGCCTTCCCAAAGTACATCTATCAGAATAGTCTGTATTATAATGCAATAAAAATTCACAATAAAGTATCCGAATACCTAAGATGTGAGACAAATTACAGAAATTTCAATAAAAAATAACTTAAATGAATTTTATATTGACAAACTGGCGTAGTTTTGGTTCACGAAGACTATATGATGGATAACTGATATGTAATTTTAATCTAAATAGTATTTTTATTATTATATTTTGTAATGTGTGAAATAATGTTAGCCAAAACGTGACGACTAAGTGCCATACCCTTGCGGGGTGTCATAGCAATAAGTAATTACCTAACGGAACGTGTATTGTTGTGACTTGTATTTTAAATAATTAAATAAAGGAGCTGTAATATAATAGATGTATTGTTTTGAAAAATGTCGTAAGCAAACTGTACAAGTAGGTAGTCATTTCCTAACATGCCTGAAGGTGTCACTGGCGCTGTTTACAAATTGCTGTGGCAAGTTTTTCGAATTCGTTCTGAGTCACCGGTCATTTTATTATATGCTTACATTTGTGAATCAAGTTAGTACTGATTCTTTTTTTAGTTAGAAAAAGGGTACCTCATTAGTGGTCCCATTAAAATTTGAAGAAAATATCCCTCCTCTAAGGGTGGCAAACGAGAGGATGAATCCGATTTAGCGCCCGATTTCAATAAAACTTGGCAAAAGATATAATTCCACACACTTTTGAGGTCGGGTTTTCTTAATAAAATAGTTTCATTATATAATACTTGAATAACAGTTTTATTTACTTTTATTTTCCAATATATTCTATTAGATTAAAACTTATATTGAAGTAAATTTATCTTTATCTTAACTTTAGATAGATAGTTAGATAAGATTGTACGTTAGCGGAGTTAACTATATTTCGTCTCTACTAATCTTAGTTTTAATTTAAGAGAGAGACTAACCATTGCACAGAAAATTAAAGAACCTAGCGCAACCATTATGAACTGAGAACAAACTAATCGGGGTGAAAAGTATAGTGTGCACTACACATCCTAACAGCAAACTAATATTCGAAATTTAGCAGCGGGTCTGCGGGACTCGGACTCTTCGACTGTGTAGTGAGAAAGAGAGATGATGAACGCGGAGAAAATTGAGAAAGAACCAGGAACAGGGCAGACGCCATCGACGATCGACCTCGATCATATCCTGGTGGAGGAAGTAGGCCAGTTCGGCAAGTACCAGCTGACCACGTTACTGCTTGCGATACTGCCCGTTATCTTCGGAGCCTTGGCTTCTGGAGTATACATCTTTACCACCGCCAGAATACCATCTCGGTAGGTACACCTTGTAGTAACAATAATCTCAGTGCAGAGTACTGAAAACCGACCTAAGGTTCGTAGAATTACATCTATTTGCCAAATTTTGTTGAAACCGGTTCACAAAACTCACGTCACTCATACGACTAGGGCCCATTGAAAACTAGCGTCACAGCCTAGTCTTGGTTGTGACTTTAGCTGAATGGGATCCTTTTGCGTAATTTTGTTTTGTGTTATTTCTGCTTTTATTTATATTAATCTTTTTTGTGTTTTTTTTTTTAATTTATAAATCGCAATAAATGGTTTCTATTTAAAGAACTCTTTTTGAAGTCGATTCAAAAATCTAAGCATTGAAAGTTTTACATAATGGACCGTACTCTATATAATCATTTCCGATGTTTTTTAGAAGCTTTTATGTAAATTCTCTCGTTTGTGGGTTCGCTTGCAAGTCGATTATGATTATACCTAATATAAATACGTAATACATAAATGATTAATATTGATGACGTATACACAAGATAGGTTCCCTGGACAAACATTTAGACGGTCGTATGGAATCATGTAACCTTTTGGGTCGTTTTGGTCAGCTCGAAGCACTTGTCTCAATTGACGCAAATAACAGAGTTGAGGGTGTCCATTGGAACTCCTCAACAGGAACTTTTCGAAGTTATGAAGTAAAAATATAATATTTGGACTAGGTTAAACTAGTCGAGTGAGACATTAGTTCCTTTGTTGCTCGTACATAATCAAGTTACTATTAAAAGAAATAAAATTAAATAATAAATAAAAATAAATTATTAACAGGCTTGTTTAATTATTATAAAAAATAAATACTAAAAAAATAATAGACAATTATTCATAATATAAGCGTTGTAAAAACCTATGAAACGTGCACTAATTGTGTAATCGATTATTTTTGTACTTATCCATTGTAACTACGTAACATTAAAACTTGTTTACTTATATGCTTATAACGACTAGTGGTAGTTAGTATATCGCAATAAGCGTTTTTACTTATTAAAATTAACAAGTAACCTTCATAGATGGCGCTACGACTAAAAAGTCGTTGAAAGACAAAGTACAAAGACACGACTCAAGCACATAGAAGAATTCGTGAGGTCCGTTGGTTCGTTTCGTGGCTTAGTTGGTATAGCGTCTGACACGGTATGCAAGAAGACGTCGTCGGTTCGAATCCGACCGGATCGAAGGAATTTTTTCTGAGTGTTTTTTCTGAGTGTTCGATCTTTGTATTAATAATTATAACAAACTAGTGGAGTAATTTCACAAAAAAAAAAAAATTGAATATCAATTCAATAAAAATTTAATTAACAAGTAATCTTTTGAAATTTCTAGGTGCAGAATACCACAATGCGACGGTGAAAACCCGGAGTTTAGGCCGTCGTGGCTGTTGAACGCCATTAACGGAACGAATCTGAACTCGTTTGACAACTGCGCCAAATTTGCCAACAGCACGCAGCAGCATCCGGCACCCCCCGATACCTGCCCCAATACACTGTTCGACACGTCCAGGACTGTTGATTGCGAAGCTTACGTCTACGAAAATACTCTTACTGTGGTGTACGACGTAAGTTATTCAGTTGGCAAATTTCAGCTTATTTACAAGGTTAATAATGAATGCCACGTTTTTGCAGCTCCTTTTTATTTACAGTTCGATTTGGCATGCGATGAATGGCGAAGGTCACGGATAGGCTCATTTCGCAAAATAGGTACGCTGCTGGCACTGCCAATTACGGGCTTCATATCCGACCGTTGGGGGCGGCGCGTGGCGCTCGCCATCAACGCTTTCAACACCGCCTGGATCGGGCTTGTGCGATCTTTCGTTACCAGCTACGAATGGTTTACAGCGTTGGAAGTCATCGAGGCCACTGTCGGTTCAGGAACTTTTTCGTCATGCTATATTTTGGGTAAGTCGTTATCAATAAAAACGATTTCAATTATAAACCAATCACCAGAGGAATTATTATTTTTCTTCTCGTTCCTTTTCAAAGTGATGGAGTTAGTGGGACCCAAATATCGGGTTGCTGCTGGAGCGACGCTATCCACCATGTTTGCCGTCGGCCAAGTCCTGCTAGGTTTCATCGCTTGGGGTGTTCCATCTTGGCGACCTTTGACACGGGTGCTGTTCGCGCCGCAACTACTAGTTGTAACTTATTTCTGGATCTTATCTGAATCCATTCGCTGGCTTATGAGCAAAGGCCGTTATGAAGAATCTGAAATAATTCTAAAGAAAGTAGCGAAAGTTAATAAGAAACAACTGTCAGAAAAATCATTAGAAGCTTTACGTACTTCCGCCGAAGTGGAAAAGACTAGAGAGAAAGTCAAGGAACCATGGCTGGTGACTAAAGTTTTTAAATCAAAATTGATTCTATTTCGGTGTATCGTATCACCACTTTGGTGGATCACCAATACTCTAGTGTACTACGGCATGAATATCAACGCCGTCAACTTATCTGGAAACCTTTACTTAAACTACGTGTACGTATCAGCCATCGAGATTCCTGGTTTCTGGACGGCGGTGCTGCTGCTTGACCGTGTGGGCAGGAAGCCGGTACTTATTTGCGGGTACTGGCTTTGTGCCATGTGCCAATTCGCTTTCGCGTTCGTGCCTGAGGGTGAGTGCTATTTGTGCGAAATAAGGAGGTTTTGCTAATTAATCACTTTACAGTAAGTCAACTTGCATTGTAACAGGCTACGAGGGGCTATCGTTGACATTGTACCTGATAGGCAAGTTCAGCATCGCGATGGTTATGACGACCGTGTACCTGTTTACGGCAGAGCTGTTTCCCACCAAGTACCGGCACACGCTGCACGCCTTCGCTTCGATGATCGGCCGCGTCGGGTCCATTACAGCACCGCTCACGCCTGCCTTAGTAAGTAAATTATGGAGGCCTTTTTCATCATATATTAACCAAGACAACACAACTTTATTGTGTTACTTCTAGGCGCAGGAGGTTTGGAAGCCGTTCCCGTCGGTGCTGTTCGGCAGCTTCGCTTTGCTATCGGGGCTACTGATCTTCACCATGCCTGAGACATGGCGCAGGAAGCTGCCCGACACCTTCGAGGAAGCTGAGGCGCTCAGCCGTCGTTAACTGGAAAAGAACATCCATGACGATTCACTTCTTGCATTTAAGCATCAATAGATAAAATACCTTAATTACGCGTGCTGTGTCATTGTAAAATCGAATAGCAAGTCGATCTAAATCTACTAAATCTCATGGCCTCTTAATTATTTTAATATAAAAGCAATATACACAATGAAAGCTCTGTATTCTAAGTTACATTCTGGTATATTGCACCTTTTATTGGGTGTACAATCTAATATTTTTTTTATGAACTTGATATTTAATATTATGATGAGTTTAAACAAACTATTGACCAAATTCTATTAGCACCAATTCTTTGTGTAATATCAATCCCAACTTAATTTTTTGTTCATTTTCTGTTTTTAGCCGACTTATAAAAAAAGGAGGAGGTCATACGATCGGCTGTATCTTTGTTTTATGTATGTTTTCCGATTTCTCCGTCAATTGTGGACCGATTTTGAAAATGCTTTTTTTGTTGCAAAGAGTGCATTCTCGTGGTGATCCCATTGTCACCAAGTCAGTATCTGATGAGGGGAACCCATGAAAACCGAAGAAAATCCTCAGATTCTATAGGCATGTCAGTGTACTCACCGATTTCTCCATCAATTGTGGAGCGATTTTGTATATTCTTTTTTGTTTGAAAAGGTATACTTTTGAGGCGGTACTCGATGCCGATGAACCAGTTTCGGGTTCGTTTCGGCTATCACAAATTTCTGAATTATTTTCCTCCAATAAAAGTAGACTTTTCAGTTGTTCTTTGTCGTAACAATCCCATTGTAACCAAGAAGTCAGAATCTGATTTTTTTTTCACTAAAAAAGTTACAATTACCATTTTTGTAAACAGCCATATATTTATTTACTAATATTTTTTTAAATTATGCTCCTCGAATTTTGTGAAAATAAAATAAACACAGAACATTGTTTTTATACGTGACAGGCCGATGACTCCATGTCACCTGATGTAAAAAGGAAAATGGAATCCAAACGTGAAGGAAGGGTTTATACAATCACAGCCCTAGCCACCTCCACCCTTCACGCCTCGTTTGAAGGACCTTACGATATGGCGTAAGTTGACGTAGTGTTCATTGGAGGTATTGAAATATATCCGCAAATACAAAAACCCTTGTAAAATGCCTATGGACTGGACTCGCATCATCAACGATGTTTGTATCAATAATAATAACTAGTGGAGTATTTTCACAATAATTGTAACTTTTTCATTGTAAATAAAACCGACCTCAAAGTTTGCTTTTTTTTTATTTCCATGGGATCCCCTCATCGCATTCTAACTTCTTGGTGACAATGAGGCTGTTACAGACTCCTTTGTACATTTTGTATTTTCTTTTCTGGCTGTCATTACATGTATGGTGTCAAGTGAAAAGTTGACTTTTTATTTGCGGAATATAATTCATAGTTCGTGATAGCCGAAACGAAACCGGAACTGGTTCAAAATCGGTCGACAATTGACGGAGATATCTGACAACATACATACAGCCGAACAATTAACCTCCTCCTGTTTTATGAAGTGGGTTTAAAATAATTTAATAATATGATAGTAGAATATCATGATATTCAATACACAGTAGGTTTTAGATATCGTGTGTATTTATCGTGTGTCAGCGTAGCTATTCGTGCACACCCCGTAGATAGCCCCCAGCCGTGTAGCAAACAAACGTTTCGTTGCAACTCTGTTAGAGACATGTGGGGCCGGTTGTTCTAAGTTTTGTTGGGTCATTTGTTTAAGCTGCGATTTCGCGGTCTCTTATCTTGACTTTTTGGCTTTAGGGAACAAAAGTTAATGAAAATTATATATTATAAGTTTGATATTTATAGAAGTCAGTCTCGTACTAAGCGACACGCTTACCCACAACAGTTCCAGTGCCACTCAGAGCTTTAGGGCGCCTACAAATAAGACGTTTATAGAGTGCTATGACTGCAAAAGCAGCTGATTTTTCCCCTAATTTGCTACCCTTAGAGGTGGAATATTTTCTTAAAATTTAAATGAGACCAATACCGGGATACCCTCTTTCCAACAAAGAAGTGTCATCAAAATCTGTTCATAAATGCCTTGATTGCGTGTAACATACACACAAAAAAAATTACGTCTAATTGAGAACCTCCTCCTTTTTTAAAGTCGGCTAAAAACCTTTGTTTATAGTAAAAATATGATCTAGCCTTTAGCAGCCATTGGTTGACCAGAATAAGCAAACTGTGGGTTGTCGTTTCCACCGTTGTCTGAATATCAGCATCCGCGGAGAATCTGCATCTGCATAAATTAAAATATCCGCATCCACATTCATAGGTGCTGATATTCATCACGGATGTTCGAGAGAGACAGACAACAAACCTTCCAGAAACGGATTGCAAGCCGAAAAAACGGCTCAGCTGTTGTTTTTCAAATATAACTTTGATTAAAAATCCAGAACGATTAAGCTAGGATTGATAGTTTTCATGCAGATTTATGGAGCCCCTTAGCCTACGGACTGACGTTGGCTCTCTATGTGTGTTCCACAGTCTTTATAATCGAGAGTGCTCTGAGGGACTATTCGATCTGGTGCCACCGTCTCGTTGCTACATCGCACCCCCAAAGGAGTAGAGTCCATCCCCACATCTTAAATGCCTGATGTTGTAAGGCTACGCGGGCATCTCGTTCGTTCCTTCTTCGAACCTGCAAGATGTGGAATGATCTTCCTCCTGAAGTATTTCCTTTGCGCCTTGACATGGGGTTTTTCAAAAAACGTGTTTACAGGGCTCTCAAAGGCTGGCATGACCACTTTCCATCATGTGCCTCGTCTACTCGCATGCCTTCTTCTTTACATAAAAAAAAGATTAATTCTTTTGTTAATAAATGTTACAAAATCATTGAAATAACATTTTATTACAATGCCAAAGAAAATAGAAAGCTTTCTCATGTAAATAGATAGATTCTGTAAGGGCGTACATTTTTCGCGTTTTTTTTTAAATACATAAAATCAGCATCCGCATCTACTTCCGCTGATCTGTAAAAAACTTGAATCAGCAACAACCCTACAGAGGTACAGAATTAATAAGACGTATTAATATTTCACATTTATACGGCAGCATTTACAAAGTTGCCACGAGAGAAACAAATCCTTTGTTCGATAAGTTACAAGGTCTAAAACGATCATGATAAAGCGGCCCTAAAGTTAAATGGAAACAATAAGTGACATCCCACAATATCTTTTCAGGCTGAGCTCTGTGAAATTGTTTCCTCTAGGAAGTGAATCCTACATCGGAAGCACTTATACCTTACCTATCTCTGTGTACAGTGTGCACAATAGATACTTTTACTTGTCATTACCTTCGAGCAGTTTAGTAAAGGAATAACCACATTTCTCGTACCGCATAGGGTTGTTGCTGATGCAGGTTTTTTACTTAATCACTGGATGCTTATTAAGTTATGTATTTAAAAAATACATCCTTACTGAATCTACCTACATGAAAAAGCTTTCTATTTTCTTTGGTATTGTAATAAAATACTAATTCTATGATTTTGTGACCTTCTTAGCAAAAGAACCTAATGACATGACAGCTGAGCTGCTTTTTCGGCTTACAGTCTGTTTCTTGAAGGTTTGTCAATTATTCCAGCGTATCTTTTAGGTCATGTCAGGACTCGAACATCCGCAATGAATATCAGCATCGATTAATGCTGATGCGGATGCGATTTTAATTTATGCAGATGATCCGCGGATGTAGATGCTGATATTCGCAACAACATCATGTAATCATCACCATGTTATTATTAATATAATATAATTCGAGCGAAAAATACATTGTACATTTCGACATCGGTTTATTCAACGCGGTTCGACACAGGTCGGCAACAAATCTTCTGTCCGCGATTTTCAGTCGCGTCCGCACTTAACCAATGATGTGTAATCGGCGGTGGTGACGACACCCAAAGAGAACCAAAGATTTTCGAGTCGCGTCGACGGCGATCACACATGACGCCGCGGCGGCAGCGTTGCGGAGTCATGTGTGATCTTACTTGGCTGTAATGGGCTGGTGTCCGCAACTCGACGTCAAGGCGCCTATTGTGCGTGTGGTGGGTGCAGGGTCTTATTCGTGTCACCCAAGCTCCTCCAGGAATCTCAGCAACTTCCTCCGTGGGTCGTCTGCCGTGAGACGTGGGTCATCATTATCAATCCAAAAAAAAAGTCTTGCACACTCTTGCTTTTTTGTCTTCAGTACCCCATTATAGTGGAGATACCTATTACGTCGTTCACCTGTAGTAATTACTAGCTATGGCTGAATTACAGTCCCAGAAGAGATATATACATCACTTATTAAAGTAGAATGTTTATGTCAGCTTCCCGTAGGCGTTGAAATTCAGGAATTTCAATGTACTTAACACTTAATTACTGTTTTGGCGTGTACGATAATAGAGCTCAACACGTATGCAGTAAGGATACAATTTCCTCAAACTTATAGGTACATTGTAATTCCGACTTTCAATCTCTTTTTTTAATGATACTAAATGACAGGACGAACAAGTCGCGTGCGCATGGTGGTAAACGACACGCTTGTTCGTAGAGCTTTAAGCTCTGAGCGGTGCTGTAACTTCAACTACATCGCAAAGAACCATTAACTCTTATTACGATTCACTTTAGGACCTAATCGTGGTGAGACAGCGCTACATAAAGTGTATATCACCATCCCGCTTTTTTGTCGTTACGAACCTACACGGTAAAAACAGATTACTTAGAAAAAGACAAAATTCTGTTTATGAAGACAAATTTATTAAATCCAACAAAACGATCCTCTCCCTATAGACGCTAGAGAATAATTACTTGATAATAGTAAAAAAAAGGTCTCAAAAGTGTATTTTAGTTATAAGATAGAAATATTTAATCCAAGAGCAAATTAATTTACTTCAAGTCACAAAGCCACTCTAGATTCAATAAAATATTTATTAGTTATTAGAAGTGTCCGATTTTGACTTGAAAAACAAGAATGAAAAATTGAGACGTACTTAATTATTTGACTGATGATTCGTGTTTTCTAATATCAAAAAGGGTAAATTTACAGGGTTACGGACCCAACAATATGTCTCACTGGCGTGAAAGCACACAGTTCAGTGCCAAACCTTAAAGTAGCAGAAACAGGACGGAATCTTCTCAAATACTTGAATATCATTCAGTGCCAAATAAATGCTACAGCGGCAGAATAGGATATATGAGATAACTTTATACTATTGAAGTTAACAAAACGATAGCGCGTTTCAGAGTACAACTAATGCCATCTAGCAGTGGCGCGATGGAACTAATTGCATATATAAGTTGTACTTGTTATTGTACACTTGTAGTGTA